AACTTGAAGGACATGATCGGAGACCCACAAGAACTTGTATTCATATCTGATCGACATGTAAGTATCACCAATGCAACAAGTGAGATATTCCCGGACGCATTCCATGCTATATGCACTTATCACCTAGGGAACAACATAAAGTCTCGATTCAAGAATGCTGCATTTTACAAATTGTATCAGGATGCAGCGTATGCGTATCGGAAGTCACAGTTCACGTACTACTGGAACCAGATACTATCGATTAGATCTGGTTCACTTGCCAAATACTTACAAGAAATTGGGGTAGAACGGTGGGCCCGATGCTACCAAGTTGGTAGAAGATATGAAAACATGACGACAAACAGCGCTGTGTCGGTAAATGCCCTCCTTCGAGAGGCTAGAGAGTTACCTATCACTAAGATTGTCGAATTCATCCGCGAATTGCTACAGAGATGGTTCCACGAAAGGACTCACTGGTCCACCCAAAACACCTCTCATTCAGACTATGCAGAAGAGTGACTTGCACTACAGTTTGAGAAGTCTCGTCGCTACACAGTCAAACCAGTCGACTGGTGCATGTTTCATGTTGAGGACGGTGGCTTGAACGAGACGGTTGATTTGAATGCCCGTACATGTACATGCATGGAGTTCCAGTACATGGGCATTCCATGTTCGCACGCAATTGCAGTAGCGAGACACAAGAATATAAATTGCCACACGTTGATCGATCCATGCTACAGTGTGGACTCCCTAATTGGTGCCTACGCTGAACCAATCTTACCGGTAGGCCACATGTCGGAATGGAAAAGGCCAGCTGATTACCAGCCTATTCCCATCCAACCACCACGACTTGTTAAACGTGCAGGCCGGCGTAGAACGCAACGGATCGCCTCAACCGGTGAGCGTCGTGTTGTGAACAAGTGTTCTCGATGCGGTACATCGGGTCACAATAGACAGACATGTACTAACCCAATTACGCAGGCACGGACATCTGGATGCATATATGGGAGGACGGTGTAAGTCAATCAGATAGGGCAGTTCCTCCTCTATGAGAACACCTAACTTCTGTAGTAGTATATATATTTGTTCTTCAGTATCTGGAATCTGTCTCGCTTTATGGCTTATTTTGTCTCGCTCTCGTTGACTCGATCTCGCTGTCTCGCTCTCGTTGACCTGATCTCGTTGTCTCGATCTCGATGTCTCGCTCTCGCTTTCTTGCTCTCGTTGTCTCGATGTTATGTTCTCGATCTCATTCGCTATCGTTCTTCTCCATGTATATTTATAATATCGCAAAGATAACCTATCTTTCTCGCTATCTCGCTTTCTAAATTTCTCGACTTCTCTCTTTCTCGCTATCTCGCTTTCTAAATTTCTCGATTTCTCTCTTTCTCGCTATCTCGCGTTCTAGACGTATGTATCCATACCCACTTATCTTATAATTAAGAGGTTAGTAAGAG